GCCGAAGTTAATTTTATAACCCCCAAACCTTCCTGGTTATGGTAGAATTTGTGAAATAATGACAACAACCTATTTACTCTTTTCTTCACATAAAGTTTTCATTTCTTGGTTGATTAACTTTAGGTGGATAGCTGAGTATCATGAATGTAATGAGAAAAATGCATTGTGCTTTCAATTACTTTTCATAGTGAAAAGACACAATTATAGGAGCTAAAAGGATACACCCTCCCTATTATAGTTTTGTTTATACAGTATAGTAAATGTAGCGTTAGCATTGTGCCAGTAGAACTGCCTAGCACTTCCCATTAGAACATCCTGCCTTTATATCCATCGTCATGTTGCGGGAACATTTCAGATCTGCTCTGAGGCTAAAAGTTTCAACAATAGTGATGCAATTTCAAGGCATGTGTTTATGTATAGAGTGCCATTCCTCCTGATGGGTAGATGACTTCTTTCTTCATGCTCCAAGACTTCCATATATTTGATAGGGGATGTTATTTCTTTCATTTGGCTTCCTAGCCTGTACCATCCCTCGGGCCCATTGCAATTTTAGAAAAGAAACTTTTAGTACCGGTATCTTTTTACATCTAGGGTATGGTGCAGATGTACCCTAAGGTTGCAGTCCTGTGCTTGCTTACTTACTACAGAGTAAGTCTCACTGAAATGTGTGAGACCTAACTAACAGGTAAATGTACTTAGAGATCAGACTGCAAAGTAAGTAAATAAATAAACAAAAGTTAATTTGTAAGCATCAGTTGAGAGAGAATGTCAATGCCCTTATGCTTCTTGCTTACGTATGCTGTAATAATGTATTTAACTAGGAGATCATGCATTTTTCTCTTACATGGGAGTACTGAAACAGTCAGGAAAAGGTTTGGATAGTTACCTGGGAATGGCTTAGTGTTTTATAATGAATGAGCTGTCAGGCGTAAGACCGTGCCTCATTTGTTGAATGTGCTGGAAGGTATGTGGCAAATGAAATAGGATATTGCACAGACAGAGGATTGCTGCTGTTTATGGATCAGGGGGATGTGAAGTCTATTGAAGTCCCCTCTCCATAACTCTGTTGTGATGTAGTCTGGCAAAGGCAATACAGAGTTGCGTTTCCAAAGACCCAGGCTTCCATTTCTCTATAGAAATTACCTCTGAAATTAGATTTTTAGACCACCACTGACAATAAAACAGTGTTGTGTTGTATTCTACTGGGCCCTGGAACACAGTGTAACCTATGCTGCTGCATCATCTCTCCCTCCTAAGATTGAGCAGCAGCTTCACAGCTGATGATCTTCGGCCCAGAACTCTCTCTTAATCTAAGTCACCCTCCCAACAATCTCTGTTGAAGGAGGATAATCTGTCCACTCTGCTGTCAGGCTCCTTCAAGGAAAGGCAGGATATAGAGGGGTGCATCAATATTGAAGACTCTCTGAACAGTGGCCACCATGATAATGTAAGTGAAAAACAAAAGAAGAATAAATCTCAAAATGGCAGAGGACTGTCCTTCAATTTAGAAAACCCAGACTGTTTCAGTCTTCGGTTGGTTTGGGGCCTTCCTCAGGGGCTAAAAGTAAAATAAAAATAGTTTTATAATTATGTTACACAGCAACTGTCAAAGTCCATCATAGTCTGTTTCATAAGTGACCTGGCTAAAGAACGAAACCTCTAAAAATAAGCATTGCTTCACACAAGCAGTCCATAATATCTAACACAGAGTGGGACTCTTCAGCTGGTGAAAGCAGTGGCACAGGTACCACCTAGTCACATGCCTTTTCTTCCTCCTAGCATCATAGAACTATAGCATCTTCAGGTTGGAAGGGGCCTATAAGGCCATCGAGACCAACCTCCTGCTCACGGCAGGAATACAAATCAAAGGATATCTGGCAAATAACTGTCTAAATTTCTCTTGAATGCCTCCAGTGTTGGAGCACTCACCACCTCCCAAGGTAAATGATTCATTACATTACTGCTTGAATAGTTAGGAAGTTTTTCCTGACATTCCTCCTCCTCTTTGGTCATGGGCAGAAGACACAAGAGGGAGTCATATCCCCACAGGTGGAAGAAGAAACAGCAAAATATAGATCTCCAGCTATATAACCCAGATTCTAGTCACCAGTTTTTCCACCAGGGAATTAAGCCCCCAAGAAAGGCTGGTTTGGGAGAAAGGGTTTTCTGTACATGACTCTACAAGTGTCATTTTATTTGCTCCAATTCTTTAGAAACATAAAATTGCACCATGATTTTAAAGGGATCAGACCCAGCTATGCAAATTCTAGAACAGCTTTTAGACTACCTTCCACATTTAGGCCTTCCAAACCCTACCACACTGACTTTGAACTACTTTACCTGGCCTTGTGGCACAATGGTTAAAGTGCAATACTGTAGTGTGGTTAAAACTTTGCTCTTGACTTGTGATCAATCCCAGCAGATTCAGGAAGCTGGCTCAAGGTTGATGCAACCTCCCATCTTTCCACAGTTGGTAAATTGAGTAAACCGAAATGTAAACTGCCCAGAGAATGCTTTATGGAGAGGTATATAAGCAGCACAGTTTGCCTTTGCCTTATATTGCAAGATTTGGGAAAGATCGAATCCATGGTCCAACATGTGCAGGAATTAATAAGCCATTCTACAGATAGTATCCCAAGATTTCTCCATTGTCAAAAAAAGGGACAAATAAACGAGGATCACCTGTTTCTCAAAATTGCACTGATCATAAGAAGGAGCTCTGGCATCAGTTGTTGGACGGATCAGGCCACCAAGCATGTTCCATCAATTCAGCTTCATAGACAAATTTCATGACACAAATTAAGATAGTCTTTGAGGATGGCTTAAATCTGGGATTTCTTAACTGCAAATGAGAATAAATCCAATAATACCCCTACTACAAGTTTTGCAGAACATTCACAAAGAAGTGATAAACTCACCAAGGAGGCCTATGGTGTCCATTTGCAATTGAATTTTGGAGTCTTTTGTCAAATATATAGATCATTCCTTCAGACTCTTTATGTTACTTATACTTTCTCATGTACAAGATTCCACAGATTTCATAAACAAATTGAGTCTCAAAAGCTAGAGGACATCTCAGTGCTTAATGACATAAGGTCCCTGTATACAAGTATACCACAGGATCAGACATCAGAAGCAATTAACTAATATTAGATGAAAGAACAACAAAATATATTGCAACATACTTATTTTTGGAACTAGCAGAGATAGCATTGTGGGGAAAAGGTAAGGTTTGAGGAGCTGTGCTGCAGAAAACAGAGAGTGTCTTCTATATGCTCCTTTGATGGAAGATGATGCTGGCATATAGATAATGTTTTTTTGTATTTGGAGGAAAGTGACACAACTTAAAATTTTTTGACTGGGTAAATTCATTGAAATAACATATTCAATTTGATATGCAATACAGTGTTATAGAAATTAATTCTTTGGACTTAAGTATTAAAAATGAGTTAATAATTCAATTGCTACTTTATATAGAAACCCATCTGATGAGAATGTGTATCTTAGATAGTCTAGACCCCTTAAAATACCTTAATGTACAATAGTTTTTTTAAAAAAAATGAGATGCAACTGCACAGAGGAAAGTAAATATTTAAGTGAGCGCCTTTAATTTCCTTTGAGCGAACCAAGAATTTAAAAGATGTATTGCAATATAAACCTAACTCAACATGTGCTCACTGGCGAGGGTTTAGAGTGGGCAGAGTGTTCTTGGCCCGGCACGGCTCTTGTGTTGGCAGAACCCCCTCAGGCTGGCTGGTCTCACGAGATCTGCCAGCAAAAGGATCTGTGGCCACTACTGCTATATTGGTTAAGGTTAGCGGGCAGAAGAGGCAGAATGGGGACTGCCAAGGGGCAGGATGAGGGAAGCTGAATTATGCCAGGAATGAATCTCCTCCAGCCAAGGAACATAGCTGCAAACTCAGCACAAAGTTAGACCAAAATAAGAGTTGTCCTAATTTTCAGCATCCCCAGGCTGTGAGAGGTTTGAGTTAGCATAGCCTCAGTTGCCCTAATATCAGCTCAGTCAACCCTCAGCCATTATGGCTAATGGAGATTAGGCACAGTGATCGCAATACAAAAGTGTCTGCATATATGTACTCAAAATCTGCCAGGTGCTATAACACTGGGGCCCTGCCCTTGGAATAAACAGGTCTACTGAAAGCATACTTTCAGAATAACAGTTTAAGGATATTGCCAAGAAAAAGAAATTATGCTCTGGAAATGCATACTTTAAAATTGTCCCCATAAGCCTCATGGTAAAGAGCATTTTCTTCTAACAATGCTGGTACTGAAAGTGTGCATCTGAAAGAATTACATCCACCTGCAGTAGATCTTTGTTGTAAAAGCCTGTAGAAATTTCCAGAGTACAGGGTGGTTGATTGTGATGCAGCACTGGGCTGCAACAAGCTTGATGTGAGAGTCCAATGGAGGTGGGAGGAGGACTAGTCGCTTTCCACTGCAGCTTTCGATGCCCTCCTCAGAAAATCTGCTGTGTAGGGCTGAGGAACCCTCTGAAGCCAGTTTGGGAGCAGTTCTAAAGGCTGCATTGGGGGAAGGGGAAGGAAGGATGCTCCATGGCTGTGTAGGATCAAGGCCACACTGGATTCACACTTGGGACACCAAGTAGCAAGGCTTCTAATGTATCTTTTATCTAGCAATTCTTGCATTGTATGATATTCTGATTTAAGAAGAATTGATTTAACTTGATGAAGAATGTGATTCATTTTAGTCAACTCTGACTGAAGCAAATACATTTGTGTATTGCGAAGCAAACATTTCTAATCACCAGAACAATTGGGTACAGTTGGCATAACAGAGCTTGGAAGTAATGTGTTATAAGTGGCCATGTGGCTAACTTTTCATGATTAAAATGTTGCTGAAGTTAAGAAATAATAGCCAGCACATAACTTTTTAAAAAATAAATAAATTCCAGGCTCTGTTTAGATAGGAAGCATGATGCAAAACTGTAGGCTTTTCTCTAACATGTACCTGATTTTTAGATGGAACGAAAGAAAATACGAAACACCAAGCTGCAAATGAACAGAGGAAGAGTTATTATGCTGCAAATGATGAATTTTTTGATGCATACGATTATGACTGAAGGGATTATTTTGAACCTCTCACCATCTGTTGTTATAAAGGTATTGTAGAAGGGTATTACATTGTTTTGAGTATTAAACAAATTTATTCAGTTACATCTATACAGCACAGGCACCTTGCAGAAACAACCCGCATTGCAGCTATTAAATCTCAGTTTTATAAACTACGGCATCTGATTTTTTAAAAAAATACTGCAAGTGGTATGCAGGATAATCCTATATTTCTCTTGGATAATTTGGTATTGGGTTGCAGGACTCACTTTTAGAATCAAGATGCAGGTGCTTGTGTGCTGCATACTCTCTTATACCTAAAATAGTTATGCAGGTATTTGAGGATTACACTAGGATTGCCGTAGACAACCAGACACCTTTTTTTTTGGCCAAATTCCTTTTTTCTTTCCTCCCTCTTTTTTGCATGCAATAGTGCATCCTCAGAAACTGCAGTAGTTAACTGAGGCTAATTAAGAAGATGTTAGACATGTGACCAGGCACACATATAGCACCTTATTAATTTGCCTCAGTTAGCTACTATGGCTTCCATGACCGACTACCATATGCAGCGATTTGGGTATCTGCCTGTGGAGTTGGAGGTCAATTCCCCACTGTGCTTCTTTGAAAGGGGCTAGATTCAATGATCCATAGGGTCCTTTCCAACTCTGCAGTTCCAAGAGTACAGCAGTTATATATGCATGAAGAATAGTAAGATGAACTAATTAGATGGTGCTAATTATATATATAAAATGTGATTTTCCCCTTTCCCTTTCTTTTTTAGGATTTTAATGTTCCAGCTCGTGAAGCATCATATTTGGTGGTATCTTCAACAACATCATTTTAAAATATTTAAGTAACTGCATCTTCTCAGCACAATTAGAAATGTAAACTTTAATTATGACTTACGTTCTCTTTATTTGTAGGATATATGAATACTCACCATTAGGATTTTGTGAAAATGAAGATGTTAAATTATTTAGCAAAACTGGCACATGTAGTGATTTTTGCTATACAAGTTGTTGATGATTAATTCTTTTTGTAATTTCCTGATGAATTATTTCTCTATGTCTGCCTAATCAGCAGGCCTGCTGTGAAATATAATTGCACTTGCAAGAAAATTACAGTCTCATGAGATGAATAGGTTTGATGATTAAATTTAGTAGAATGAAGTAATAAGATTCAAACACCCAAGCAAAATGGCATGCTGCTCCTTTAACATTATTTGATGACCTCCCTAAAAAAACACAGAACAATGTTTGGGAAACAATCCAGCTTGACACAACTCACAACAGAGAAGAGAAAATTTTGAAGAACACAATATTCTCTTGGTAAATGAAGGAATTTCACCTCAGTTAAATTAAAAATACCAGTCTTGATCTGGGGTCAGCAAATCATAATTCACCGAGCTAAAACAGACATACACACATACATTCCCTTTCTCAAGCCTGATAAGAAAACATACTGGCTGCTAAATGTAATTACTAAACTGGATCTAAGTATGGTAGTAGATTGGCATTCATATCAGCAGGAGACAGAGTTCTGTGCAAGGAACATGAATTAGCTGTTGTTTTCTGCATGGCAAAAAAATACCTCTTCCTACCCATATTTTCCCCCAGCGATAAGTATGGGTGTTTTTCCTCTTGCCACGTTTAATGGCAGTGCATTATATCTGAACGTCTAGCTGTTCTTTCGTGAAATACAAATATTTCCAGCCAAATCCTAGGTGAGAGCTTAGCTGTTCTTTCGTGAAATACAAATATTTGATGGAAAGCCAGCCAAATCCTAGGTGAGAACGGACAGGCTCAAACTTCAGACGTGGAAGAGCTTTCGAAGTTATTTCTTTCTCAAGTGCTGTGTGAAAATGTCTTTGGTATCTTGAGAATGAAGAGAGTCCCTGGTGTTCTGTTTACCCAGTACTCTCAATAGGCCTGGGAAGAAGCTCCAGGCCTAAAGCTTCAGAGGGTTCATTTCTTTACGGTTGATGTTATTAGGGACAGGGAAGAGCCCCAGCCAGCACTAAAAGTACCCCAAGACAAGTTTCCTCCCAACTAACTGAGACTCCACGGGCAAGGCCCCCTTTCACATGTAACTTACAATAACCATCACAGTCATGGGGCTTAACCTCAGAGGAATGATGTGTGGGATGGGAAGCTTAATGGGAAATACACAGCTCCCCGCCCCCCAGAAATGTACTGTCTGCCTAGGGGACTACGACTTTGTGACGTACATTTGGAACCAGAGATTTTCTTACTGATCCTATTAGATCTTTTTGTTTGTCCAGCTCATCAAATGATGGTAGTTAATTTACTTCTCACTGCAAGAATCCTGACAGCTAAAATGTTGAAAAATAGATCAAGTTCCCATTATGGTATTATGGTTATAAACTGTAGCTGTTGGTATGCAGTTCTGATGTATAAATTAATAGGGCTGAAAAATGGACTCCTTTTCAGATGCACTGGAATCAGCAGCTGCCAAATAATGTTATCAACTTATATATATTTACTATAAACCAGGATATGAATTTGATCTCTTTCTGCTGGCAAAGGTTGCCTTAATAACTGCCTAGTTTATAGAAGACTAGATGAGCATATTGTTGTTGTTTAGTTGTTAAGTTGTGTCCGACTCTTTGTGACCCCATGGACCAGAGCATGCCAGGCCCTCGTGTCTTCCACTGCCTCCCGGAGTTGGGTCAAATTCATGTTGGTCGCTTCGATGACACTGTCCAACCATCTCGTCCTCTGTTGTCCCCTTCTCCTCTTGCCTTCACACTTTCCCAACATCAGGGTCTTTTCCAGGGAGTCTTCTCTTCTCATGAGATGGCCAAAATATTGGAGCCTCGGCTTTCCTACTTTCTTCAGTTTAAGCTTGAGTTTTGCTATAAGAAGCTGATGATCAGAGCCACAGTCAGCTCCAGGTCTTTTTTTTTTTTTTTTGCTGACTGTATAGAGCTTCTCCATCTTGTTGTAAGCCACCCAGAGAGCTTTGGGTAGAGTGGGCTGCATGTAAGTGAAATAAAATAAATAAATACATAATCTGATTTCGGTATTACCCATCTGGTGATGTCCATGTGTAGAGTCACGTGTTGTTGGAAAAGATTGTAACAACCAGCTTGTTCTTTTGACAAAACTCTATTAGCCTTTGCCCTGCTTCTTTTTGAATTCCAAGGCCAAACTTACCTGTTGTTCCTTTTATCTCTTGATTCCCTACTTTAGCATTCCAGTCTCCTATAATGAGAAGAACATTTTTCTTTGGTGTTAGTTCTAGAAGGTGTTGTAAGTCTTCATAGAATTGGTTAATTTCAGCCTCTTCAGCATCAGTGGTTGGTGCATAAACATGGATTACTGTGATGTTGAAAGGCCTGTCTTGGATTCGTATTGAAATCATTGTATCATTTTTGAGATTGTATCCCAGTACAGCTTTTCCCACTCTTTTGTTGACTATGAGGGCTACTCAATTTCTTCTACTGGATTCTTGCCCACAATAATAGATATGATAATCATCTGAATTGAATTTGCCCAGTCCCATCCATTTTAGTTCACTGATGCCCAGGATGTCATTGTTTATTCTTACCATCTCCTGTTTGACCACATCCAGCTTACCAAGGTTCATAGATCTTACATTCCAGGTTCTTATGCAGTATTTTTCTTTGCAGCATTGGACTTTGCTTTCACTTCCAGGCGCGTCCGCAGCTGAGTGTCCTTTCGGTTTTGGCTGAACCACTTCATTAGCTCTGGAGCTACTTGTCCTTGTGCTCCGCTCTTCCTCCGTGGAACGTTGAATGCCTTCTGACCTGAGGGGCTCATCTTCCAGCATCATATATTTTAGCCTCCCCCCCCTTCATTGAGTTTTCTTGGCAAAGATACTGGAGTGGCTTGCCAGTTCCTGCTCCAGGTTGATCGTGTTTAGTCAGAACTCTCCACTATGACCTGTCCATCTTGAGTATCCCTGCAGGGCATAGCCCATAGCTTCTCTGAGTTACTCAAGCTCCTTCACCACGACAAGGCAGCAATCCGTGAAGAGGGATGAGCATATAGTATAAGCATATATTGTGTATGTGTGTGTGTGTGTATACTGTATACATGAAATAAATAATTTTAAAAAGAATGAAATATTTGTATTAAAAGCTAAATATGTCTATGCTCTCTAGTTGCACATTGGATCTTTGTGAATGCCCTTTATAGATAACCTGGAAGTTTAATTCGAGTGAAAGCAGACAAGGTAGCATGTTAGCTAGTGATCTGATAACACAATTGTCTGTTCTGTTTTGGATTGTGTCTCACGGTGGGGATGCTGGATTCTTTATCTGTTTTTTAAAAAGTGAATGATTCAAAAGTAACACTTGCTTTGGGATTTACAACATAATGAAATGCACTGGATTAATAAAATTAATAGTCAGAATCTGTGTGTGTTCACATAAGGTTGTGTAAATTCGTGCAACTAATGGTCGCTAATTGCCAAGGTGCCAGGGCACATGTCAGCTGTGCGTTTGGGCATTTCACCAAGCACCTAACAAAGATGTGCACCAGTCCTTCATCAGTTACTCATAATCAGCTTCAGCAAGCCACAGAAACTGAATGTAAACACAGTTTCTTTCTTTTGTATTCACATTTCAAAATCAACATGCAAAATCAAATAATTTCATAGCAGTAGTACAAATATTCATGTAGGTACAGTGTATATCTGGAGTGAAGCGTATTGCTTTCTGAGTTTAGTTCACTTTTGAGTTTATAACCTATCCTGCCAAAATTTCAGGCAGTGTCCTTTTCATTTGAAGTTCCCTGGTACACAAACACAAGTATGATTCTGGCTTATGTGTTCTATTGAAGTGCAGGAAATAACAGATATGTGTACTTCCTGCATATCATTGTTTAATAGGAACTTGTACTCAAAATGTTGAGCATGCACTCCTGTTTTTAGAGATCAATCTATTGGCAAGTGGAAGAACTGTTGACAAGCTGATAAAAGAAATGAGATGCCACTGCCAAAATCCTTGCAGATTTGAAGGGCTTTCTGGGTGTAGGGAACAAGATGTTTATTAATAATCTAAAGCTCCGTTGATTCACTAGGCGTCCCCCTCGGTACAGACATCTGTACTTTATGAGACAGGAAGATAAACCAGCTAGGGAGGAATGAATAAGGTAAAAGTCAAGAAACACACAATCAATGAATAAGCTTAGTGTATTGCAGGAACTGTTCATCCCTTGTAGTTTTGCTAAATGCAAAATAATTACAAGGTGAGGTGGTAGCACAGACCGTGGTTACGTTTGAAATTCAGTGGCCTCTATCGCTAGCTTTTTGTTCCATTACAGCCTCTGGTTACTCCCCTCTCTTTTTATATACAGCTCCCCTCTGTGTTATTTCTTCATTAGTTCAGATCATTGACAGATGATGACCGAAGCAAGAGTCATCCTTTCCAAAATGTTGGCATGAAGCTGTCCCCCAGTTCAGTCCACAAGCTGCTCTGGATTGTCAGTGTACATGGCTCTCCACCCATCCTTTATTGTCAGCATCTTTGTGAAGTAGGTCAGGCTCAGAGAAAGAGAGGTGGATACCATATCTCAGGGCTCAATGAACACGAGAATCTGGTGGCTGTCTTTAAAAAAAAAGGCTGCCTCTCTGCCTGCACAGCTTGCCCCCCACCCCATTCCCAGTGCCTCTATTGCCTCCCTACCTTTTCCTGCCATTTCCACCACCACCACCACTGCTGTCGCTGCCATCTTGAGAGGCCACCGGCTCCTTCCGGTCATCCAGTCTCTGTGCATGTCCCTGACTCTCAGCTGATAGGCGAGGACGTGTGCAGAGCCCCCCTGCCCCCAGGGCCAGCTAACTAAAAATATTAAT